TGAACAAACCCCATGTCCTCACCTCTCCTCAGCTGTTTTTTACAACAGCAGACAGGAATCAAACTGTGTTTTGTGAAATTCCTGTAATTCCTCCATTCCTTAGTCAGACTCATAGCCCAGGATGCACATCCAAAACGTGTTTTGATTTTCCAGGACAAAACATTTGCAAAACCTCAGTTTAAAGAACAAACAAGAAGGAGGAAAGCTCCCCACAGGGTAAGGTAGAACAAGACAATCCTACACTGAATGACCTTTGTATCACCTCGGGTGAGACACAGCAGAACTGAAACAGGAAATGCCCACAGGGATTTGCAACTCCCAGTCCATGGGACAGCCCAAGGAGTGGGACACGAGGGGGTACAAGGGAAAGAAAAACCTCCCTGGCCTTGGGGAGGCCAGGATTCACTGACTCCCCTGAGTGAATCCAAGGGGATGCAGATCTCCATCCAGGGACACCCCTGCCGAGGCAGGGGAAGGGGGACACAACCTCCCCCTCTGACAGCTCCTCTGCCTGTCCCTAAATGCAACTCCAGTCTGCAGGCAGAGTGTACCAAAGGCTCAGGAACACGGGGGGTCAGAAGGGCAGGAACAGAGGCTGCCCCACACACCAACCCTGAGGTGCTCTGTGGGGACTGCAGTTGTTTAACACAGGCTGGAGGACACCTGTGTGTCCCCCACCCGGGAGCCTGGCTTGGGAGGGAGGGTGGCAGCAGATGGATCATTTCCAAGGTACAGCAGGAAGTGGTGTCTGCAGTATAAAACCAGTCCTAAAAGTGGGAAAACATCACCCAAGAGCTGACTCCAGCCAAGCCCTGGCCAACACTGGTGCTTCAAACACACCTGACCCCCAGAGCAGCCGTGACTGCAGCTGCTGGACACACGTTGGAACTGCTGATTCCTGGGGGTTTTTTTTAATATAAAAAAGCAATTGAAAACCATTAACCCAGTTCATAACCAGCCCTTCTGAGCTACTCAGCTGTCCACAGCTTGAAGGTTCTGTCGTAGGAGCAGGTGGCAATGAGCTGCCCATCCAGGGAGATGTCCAGGCCCATCACCTTCCCCTCGTGCCCTGCCAGTGTCTTCAGGGGGGACCAGCCAGGGTGGGTCCAGATCTTGGCCGTGTTGTCGTAGGCGCCCGTGAGCAGGAAGTTCCCGTGGTTGGCTGCAGAGGAGGAGGAAAGGGGTTGCAAATAGAAACATGGCAAAGCTCAGCTCACCAGCACAGGCCCTTCTTGCCCTGCAGGTGTGGCTGGAGCTGCTCTGGAGGGGCAGGGATCAGGAACAGCAGACACTCACGTTCAAACCTGACGCCGGTGACCAGGTTCTGGTGGGCAGGGATGGTGTAGATGCACTTCCTCTGCCGCAGGTCCCACACCTTGCAGGTGTTGTCACCGCTGCCCGTGGCCACGTGGTACCTGCCCAGGGGGAGGAAGGGCAGTTTTTGGGGAAGGGGGTTTGCACTGGGAGCTCCCACGTAAACCTCACCAGCTCCCTTCTTACCCGTTTGGGGAGAAGTTAATCCCGTAGATCTCCTTCAGGTGACCTTCCAGGAACATGATGCAGCGCCCTGTGCGCAGGTCCCACACCCGGCCAAAGGCATCCAGGCCGCTGGAATCACAGTCACAGGCTCGGTTGGGTTGGGAGGGACCTTAAAGACCATCTCATTCGACCCCCCTGCCATGGGCAGGGACACCTTCCATGATCCCAGATTGCTCCAAGCCCCATCCAACCTGGCCTTGGACACTCCTAGGGGTGGGTCAGCCATGGAAATTCCATCCCAGCCCCTCACCACCCTCACAGGGAAGAATTTCTCCACGATATCCCATCTAACCCTGCCCTCTGGCAGTGGGAAGCCATTCCTCCAGCAGACATCTCTGGTAACATGTCCCACCCAGCCCCAGCCCCAGTCCCAGGCCAACCCACCCGGTGCCGGCGAGGGAGCCGTCGGTGTGGAAGGCGATGTCATAGACCCCCTTGCTGTGCCCCTCCTGGTGCAGGATCTCCTCCTGCGCCTCCAGGTCCCACAGGCGCCACGAGTGATCGTAGCTGCAGAAACAAGGCAGTTGTCAGATAAATCATGGAGTCACTAAGGTTGGAAAAGCCCTCCAAGATCATCAAGTCCAGCCATTCCCCCAGCACTGCCGTGCTCACCACTAACCCGTGTCCCCAGCTGCCACATCTCCATGTTTTTGGGACACGTCCAGTGGTGACTCCCCCACTGCCCTGGGC